TCGCGGAGGATAGGGCGAGTGGCGCATCGCCATACCAGCACTCCTCTTCCTCCGCGACTCCACCTCGGCTGCAGCGGTAGAGGGTGCGGACTCCCCTCTCACCGCAGCCCCCCGACACACATCCGAAGTGGGCTTCCCAAGCCCACTCGGAGTGGCCACCTCGGGCCGGCCCTACACCACGGGCCAGCCAAGGGGTTCCTCTTTGTTCACCGTGGTTGACCAAGCCACGGCTACTAAGCCCCCCCGCCACGACAAGGCGGGAACCCGTTCGGGGGGGAACCTAACCTAACCTAACCTAACCTAACCTAACCTTTTTTTTTTTTTTTTTTTTTTTTTTACATGGGGAAATGCCTACGCATACCCGCCTCGCGGGGGCAAGGACGGGTTATGTCGGACTCGCACCGACTAAAACCCCATGGTGTTCCAACCTTGTCGCATATTGGCAGGGCCACGGGAACGCTTTCGCACACTTCCGCGGCCCCACCTGCGCTGGACGCCCCATGGCGGCCCCTCCTCGGGAGAGGACCACTCCTCCCCCATCTCCCTCTCAGGTAAGGCGCACCAGAACACATGGCGCGCCCTCCTCCTCGGCCTCCAATTTCACATGCGCAACGGACGCCCCCGTGTCCGATGCGCGAAGGCCATGGGGCCAGGAAAAACTAGCACTCAGAAGCACCAGCCTTCCTGACCCCAGCGGCGGATCTGGTCTATGGCTCCGCCGCCAACCAAGATTCGGCTGCGGAGGGTAGGGAGAGCGGCGCCTCGCAATACCGACACTCCTCTCCCCCCGCAGCCCCACCACCACCGCATCACTCAACGGTGCGGCCCCGTCTGAGTCGCGGAGGATAGGGCGAGTGGCGCATCGCAATACCAGCACTCCTCTTCCTCCGCGACTCCACCTCGGCTGCAGCGATAGAGGGAGCGGACACCCCTCTCGCAGCATCCCACCGACACACATCCGAAGTGGGCTTCCCAAGCCCACTCGGAGTGGCCACCTCGGGCCGGCCCTACACCACGGGCCAGCCAAGGGGTTCCTCTTTGTTCACCGTGGTTGACCAAGCCACGGCTACTAAGCCCCCCCGCCACGACAAGGCGGGAACCCGTTCGGGGGGGAACCTAACCTAACCTAACCTAACCTAACCTAACCTAACCTAACCTAACCTAACCTAACCTAACCTAACCTAACCTAACCTAACCTAACCCCAGTCCGGTGTCAACTGCCGTCCCGAACGTCACGTTTCTGAGTTGCTCCGCGCTTAAAAATTCGCAAAAATAGGTTTTTCGCATCCGATTTTGGTGTTCTATATATCAAAAGATGCGCGTTGACGAGCGGTTTAATATAGTGTAAACTGCATGAAAATCAGAGTTTTGGTGAAAAAGTTATTCTGAAAATAGTGATTTTTAAAAAAGTGGAAAACTTCAAAGTGAAACGCTGCGTGATTAAGCGCTATTACATATACTTTTTAAAGTGCGGCCTTCAAGCCATTCGCGGCCCCCACCTACGTGTAAAATCTGAGATTTTTCGGAGCTATAGTCTCCGAGAAAAAGCCAAAAAAACAAGTGCCACGTGGGCACGTGTTTTGAGAAGCAGAGCCGTGCGGCTATTTTTGAAGCCGCACCCTTGTAGTACGTGTGGAGAGGAGCCGGGAGCAAATTCCAGAACTATTTTAAGTTAAGTGGTTTAAAAGATATTGACTTTTTAAAATTTAGCCAAAATTGATATTTAAATAACTTTAAAAATAAAGTGAAGACCCCTTATTTTTATTATAAAACAGTGTTAAGAAGAACATAAGGAATATATGTAAAAATATTTAGATTTTTCTAGTGAGTAGTTTTTTAGTTATAAATTTTTTAATATTTTTAATTAACATGTGCTACCCCTAAAATTAGTATTAGCAAATTAGTAAATAGGTATTTAATATAAGGCTCTTGATAATAACATATGTTAATTTTTGTAGAATTTTAAAATCAAAATTTAGCTCAAAAAACCAAATTTTTCAAAAAATTTATATTAAATTGTAAAAAATTTACTTATAGGGGTCTTAAAAAGCCAAAAGATTTATATAGACGTAAGCTCGACACCGAGACCTTTTGAACGAGCCCAAACACGGGTCAAATCAGTTAAGAGACGGCCAAGATAGAAATAAGTTGTCTGGACCGGCGGCCATTTTGAAAATTTTTAAAACTTCATAGCTCTGTTTGTAGAAGTCGTAGTGAATTGCGGTTTTGGACTGTACTATTGTTAGATCGATTTCTACCCACCTACCAAGACTAGGGCTTTTTTGAGCCCTAGTTTTTCAGGGTCCTGAAATCGGTCCTATCTGAAAGACCGGGAGAGGGGCAGTAGTATAGTCCAAACGCTGGTCTCCTGCGATTTCTGGAAGCAGAGTTATTGGCATTCAAACATCTAGTTTGACATTTCGGCAGCCATCTTGGAAATCTAAAATAGGCCATAGCTGCCGAACTAGGTATCGCACAGGACTGGGGTTTGGACCCCAGACGTCGGCAAATAGTGCCGGAACAGATAATCTAGCTTTCAGGAAATTTCAGCGTCAAAAAATTAAAGTCCTGAAAGCTAGACCTTATTATAGCCCTAGTCGAGCCCATCAAAACGAGCCCAAGCACGGAGCTGTAGGCCCATCCGTTCGGGAGTTACAGCGCATTAACCGTAAATTTGGCGGCCATCTTGTTTGGAAACCATAATTTGGAAGCGCTGTAACTTGGGAACCTTTCGGGCTAGGTATACCGAGTTTGGGTTCCCTGAATAGGGCTCGAGGAGCGCTTTTAGCTGGTTATAAGATATAGACTCTACGTAGAGTCAAAAACTTTTTTGCCTGTAACTCTCTTTGTATAGAATATTTCTCAAATTTTTTAATATTAGTAGACATAATATGTAAAAACCTGACAGATTAGACGTAGATTGACTCTATATAGAGCACTACAAAATTTTTATTTTATTTTATTTTTATTTTATTTTGTGATATATAGTAGATTTATAAGTTTAGAAATTAAGAGTGACCAAAAACACTTTGTAGACAGACTCTTAGTAGAGTAAAACATAAGATACAATTTTAGAACTTTTTTGAAAAAACTACATATGTATGTGTAAATAAACGTGACATTATTAAAACGAATGTATAGTTACGACTCTACATAAAGCAAAAATTTAGAAAAGAACTGACGTGGTATTGTGGCTATTTATTGATTGAGTAACACTTTGAACCTACCGCAACCTTGTCAACAATTCAAAATATTTTTATAACTTATACAAACCTTTTTTAAGTTTATTTTATTTATTTTTGGACAAAATATTAATTGAGTTTATTCATTTACATTTGTTAGTTGTTGTGACCTTAGGACGCGTTCCCCTGATAAAATGTTTGGATATCGTACTCCCACCAAAAAGACTGAAGACAGTGCCAAAGACATGAGTCCTCAGGACTCTCCAAGAGTTACAGAGAAGGCAGGACCTTCTACTAAAAACGACCACACGACGCAAGTTCCCAGTGTGAGAAGAAGTATTGGAGAATGGGAGTCGGGAAAAACAGAAAAAGAAGTCACAATACAGACTTCTCCGAAAAAGGTGGCCCTGGCGGCTCGCCAAAAGCAAAGGATCATTCCATCCCAAGAAACGAGGGTAACAGCTCGCAAAACAGTACCTGAAAACTCAGAAAGCTCTCCGAAAACAGAACCCATAAAATATGTGGATCGCTTGACAGAGGCACGGTCCTGTCTTCAAAAAGCTAAATTACATCTTAGCAACTCTCGAAACCTTAGAACTGACATTAAAACGGAAGTTACTCAGGCTATAGAGAGGCTCTACCAATTAGTAAAAGAGGCAGAGACAGGCAAGAGTATAACGAAAGAGGAAAAATTGAAATTTCAGGAGAAGAAAGAGGAGAGACCAGGACATGAAAATAGAAATAGAAAAGAAGAAGAACAAAACTTAACAAAAAAGTTGGAGGAACATGGGAAGCTTCTAGAGGAAAATAGAAAAGAGATGGAAAAATTGAGAGAAGAAATGCAAAAGCAAGAAATCAAGGAAGATCGAGGAACATACGCAAGTGTATTGGCTGGGCCACCAAGGAACCCACCTTCAGAAAATAAGGCCATGCACTCTGTGATAATCACATCCAATGATGAAAAAGAGACAGGAGACCAAGTAATGGATAGGATAAGAAAGGCAATTAATGCCAAAGAAGAAGGACTAAGAATAGATAAGATTAGGAAGGCTAGAGACAGAAAGATAATAGTGGGATGCCAAACGGAAAAGGAAATAACTAGAGTTAAAGAAAGATTAAAGAAGGCAGGAACAGACCTCAATGTGGATGATATACAAAACAAGGATCCACTCATAATCCTAAAGGATGTGTTACAATACAACACTGATGAGGAAATCCAAAAAGCTATTAGGATACAAAACAAACAACTATTTAAAGATCTATCAGATAAAGAAGACAGAATGGAGGTTAAATACAAGAAAAGAACTCGTAACCCACATACATCCCACATCGTAATGAGAGTCTCGCCTCAAATATGGAACCGTCTTACGGAAGCTGGTATAATCCATGTTGACCTACAGAGAGTTAGAGTGATGGACCAGTCTCCCTTGGTACAATGTTCGCGTTGTCTGGGATACGGACACAGTAAGCGCACATGTACAGAGACCCTTGACGTATGTAGTCACTGTGGAGGCCCACATTTAAAAATCGAATGTGCTGAATGGCTATCCGGAGCAATACCGGAATGTAAGAACTGCAGCAAGGCAAAACATGATAACAAAAATCATAACGCATTCAGCACAGACTGCCCAATAAGAAAAAAATGGGAAACGTTAGCAAGATCAACCGTGGCATATTGCTAAGATTGCTCTTGCGACAAACACGGAACCATGCATCGGTAACCACCGATATCACGCGGTCCAGGCGAATCTTCAAAGATGTGAGCTAGCCACGGCCGAATTAATCATAGAGGCGTCTAAGGGGAAGATGTGTTTCGCTATGGTACAGGAGCCCTACATTGGACGAATAGGACAAATGAAAAACTACACTGGGACGAGAATAGCACAAAGTGACAGAAGCCAAACCACTGAAAATGTGATTAAGGCTGCTATTGTGCTATTCGACGACACCATTGACATGGCTCCTTGCCCAGGCCTAACGACGGAGAACATCGCAGTCGCAAAGTTGAAGACTGGGGCATGGGAGTTGGGAGTGGTGTCCGTCTACATGGAGGGCGACAAACCTCTCGAACCATATCTTGAAAGGATTGGAACGGCCGTGGTGGGCCTGGGGACAAGACACGTGATACTCGGTGGGGACTTGAATGCATGGAATACCTGGTGGGGAAGCCGGGAGACAAACAACAGAGGCATAGAGGTAGCTGCAAAGCTAGATGAATTAGAACTCCACATTCTAAACAAGGGGACTGAGCCAACGTTTGACGTTACAAGAGGAGGAAAGAATTATTCCAGCTGCGTGGACGTAACTACCTGCTCGACCAGCCTACTCGGAAGGATAGATAACTGGAGACTATCCGATGAAATAACCAACTCGGATCACAGGGCAATCCTATTTGAGATAAATTTAGAAAAAGCAATAGGCACCGACATAAAAAGAATCACAAGAATTTACAACACGAAAAAAGCAAATTGGGGAGAGTTTCGTGGGAAACTCCTCCAGATTTGGAAGGATATACGGTTAAACAAAGCAGCAATAGAAAAAGTACAAAACACACAAGAATTAGAAATAACAATAGATAAATACACAAATTCAATAACAGAAGCTTGTGAAAATAATATACCTAAATTAAAAAATAAAAAACGAATGGGGTTGCCCTGGTGGACCGACGAGCTCACACAGCGAAAGAAGGAAGTCTCCAGGCTAAGGCGTCGAATTTCCTACGCAGCGCCAGTCCGCCGCGAGTGGGTGGTCGGGCAGTATATAAAAGCAAAGGAAGAATACCAACAGGAAATCAAAACAGCTCAGACCACCAGCTGGAAGGAATTCTGTAGTAAGCAGGAGCGGGAAACAGTGTGGGAGGGAATATACAGAGTGATAAGCCGTACAATGTTGCGACAGGAGGACACTCCCCTTACTATAGACGGGAGGACGCTCGAAGGTGAAGAATCAGCCAGGATTTTAGCAGATACGTTCTATCCAGAGGATCGAAACGAAGACGATGACGCGGAACACAGGGAAATAAGACAAATGGCAGAAACTGTAAATGAAGGGGCATCTGATGGATCATGTGACCCACCCTTTACAGCGGATGAGTTGCTGTGGGCCGTGTCTAGTTTTAGTCCGAAAAAAGCACCTGGTATCGATGGTTTTACGGCGGACATTTGTGGAGCGGCTATCGCCCTGGACTCGGCACTGTTTCTGGCACTTGTAAACAAATGTTTCAGTCTTGCACACTTCCCTATCAAATGGAAGAGAGCGACAGTGGTAGTGTTGCGGAAACCCGGAAAAGAGACTTACACACACCCTAAATCCTACAGGCCGATTGGGCTTTTGCCTGTATTAGGGAAGATCTTCGAAAAAATGGTAGTTCGGAGAATCAAGTGGCACATCGTACCAAATATAAGCCGTAACCAATATGGATTTATGCCACAACGCAGTACCGAGGACTCCCTCTATGATATGATGCAGTTTATAAGAGCAAAGTTAAAAGACAAAAAGCTAATCCTGCTTATATCATTAGACATAGAGGGAGCCTTCGATAACGCTTGGTGGCCGGCAATACGATGTGGACTTGCGAAGACCGGGTGCCCAGTAAATCTGAGGCGCCTGATTGATAACTATCTTAAAGATAGAACAGTGTGCGTCAGATATGCTGGAGCGGAGTGGGTAAAAAAGACCACTAAAGGGTGTGTGCAAGGCTCAATAGGGGGGCCAATATTCTGGAATATACTGCTGGATCCACTTCTGAAGGAGCTAAGTGCAAAAGAGTCCCATTGCCAGGCTTTCGCGGACGATGTGGTCCTGATGTTCTCCGGGGACATGGCAAAACAGGTACAGGAGCAGGCGAATAAAACCCTCGCATATGTCCAGAAGTGGGGTGTCAGAAATAAGCTCAACTTTGCACCACACAAAACAAAAGCGATGATCATTACAAAAAAGCTAAAGTATGACACACCACTTTTGGAAATGAGCGGGAAAACCATAGGCCTCTCCAGAGAAATTAAAATACTTGGCCTCACAGTGGACGACGGGCTTACATTCAACACGCATGTAAAGAATGTGTGCTGCAAGGTACAGAACCTTTATCGTCAGCTGTCGAGAGCCGCTAAGATCCACTGGGGCCTGAACCCGGAGATTGTTAGGACCATATATGTCGCAGTGGTGGAACCGACTGTTATGTATGCGGCTAGCGCATGGGTACCAGCAACTAACAAACAAAAAGTAAAAAAGAGATTCGACTTGGTGCAACGCGGATTTGTCCAAAAAATAATAAAATCATACAGGACGGTATCGCTACACTCGGCCCTACTACTCGCCGGGCTGCTTCCATTGGATATAAGAATCCAGGAAGCGGCCTCGCTTTATGCAATAAAGAAAGACTTTTCCCGGCGAATAGTAGGAGATCGAGAGGTAGAGAGCAAAATTAACTTTTCAGAGACCCCACATCCCGCGGATCAGGTCGGGCTTAACTTTGAATGTCTGGTGGACGGTGCACAAATAGACCAGAAGGACAATAAGGCCCTGAAAATCTACACAGACGGCAGTAAAATCGAGGGAAAAGTCGGTGCGGCGTTATCCATCTGGAATGACGCCGCAGAGACGTGTACCCGTAAACTGAAACTGGAAAATTTCTGCACCGTCTACCAGGCAGAGTTGCTGGCCATTCTCGAAGCAACCAGTTATGCATTAAAATCTTGTGCACCTAATTGCAATATTTATAGTGATTCGAGATCAGCTCTCTCAACAATTGCCCAAGACGTTTCCCTCCATCCCCTAGCGGTGGAAGCAAGAAACAACATACTTAAAATAAATAGGCAAGGCAAAACACTTAATCTCTGTTGGATAAAAGCCCACGCAGGATTGGAGGGAAATGAGAGGGCAGACGAGCTAGCAAAAGATGCCGCAACAAAAATAAAAAGAAAAGCAGACTATGAAAAGTGTCCGGTTTCATACGTCAAGCGACAAATCCGATTGGAATCGCTTGACGAATGGAACCGGCGCTACACAGAAGGCGAAACGGCCTCAACAACCAAAATCTTTTTCCCAGACGCAGTCAAAGCCTACCACATAATTAAGAAAATCGATATGGATCCGATGACGGTTCAAATTATGACAGGACATGGGGGGTTCTCCGAATACTTGCATAGATTTAAGTGTAAGGAGAGCCCCGCTTGTGCCTGTGATCCAACAAAAAATGAGAACATAATTCATGTAATTACGGAATGTCCAATTTATGCCAGCGAAAAGTGTGACATAGAAATAGCATTAAATGTAAAAATAAGTAAAGAAAATGTACATGATATTATAGAAAATAAGCACACTAGAGATAAGTTTTTAAAATATTGTAAGAAAATAGCAAGAAAAATAGTAAATAGAAATAAATAGAAAATAAAATGGGAACTGTAACATAATATATATAAGTATACAATGTAAACAGTCCCACAGAATCATAGATATAAGAACGAAACTTAGAAATAATGTAATCATAAATGTAATGTGCAAGAAAAAATACAAAGAAATAAAAGAAAAAACTACAAAATAAAAAAGACAGAAACTGATAAACTGATAAAACTGACAAAGATGAAAAAAGTCCCTGATCTCAATATATCAGGGGAACTAGAAAAAAAAAAAAAAAAAAAAAAAAAAAAAAAAAAAAAAAACCTAACCTAACCTAACCTAACCTAACCTAACCTAACCTAACCTAACCTAACCTAACCTAACCTAACCTAACCCAGTTGCACTCCAAACGCCGTGCCTTACGCAGCACTTTTAAACCGCTCCGCAATCATAAATTCGAAGTTGTGGGTCAAAGTGACCAAATTGTTAAGTGTGTTACATCAAAAGATTCGTCTCGTCGAGACGAATCCAGTGATATATAACAAAGTTGGAAAAGTGCGGAAAATACGGAATAAATACGGAAAAACCAGATTTTATTAACCTAAAAATCTTAAAAGTGAAACGCTGCCTAAACGAGATCTATGACATAGTGTTTTTAAAGTGTAGGAATAAGCGCCTTGACTTGCTTTATCATACTGACCAATCACCAGATTTTTACGACGTTCGCGCACGAAATTATTAACCAAAATATAAAACCACGTGGACACGTGGTTTTTGATAGGAGGCCGTGCGGCTGTTTCTGCAAACGGAATATCAAAGAGGACATCAGGACGAAGCACCAGACACCTCGATCATTAAAATCGGTTGAGAAATATAGAAGTTATTACACTTTAAAGAATAGAATTTTCAGCAGAAAACTTCACGTGTAAATATCTCTGAAATTTCAGTGACGACCTGTACCTTTTTTGTGTTCATCTATAGCAGCAAATCAAGACCTACAAAAGGACATTAACCACTTATGATTTGACAGTTCAATAAACAAATTAGTCAGACCTATGGTCAAGCCAGATCAGGCCAAAGACAATTTTTTTTTAAATGATGGTAAATATAACTTAGAGTCAAATTACTAAGTTCTTATCCAAATATAAATATTAATATAAAAAAAATAATAATATAATATTATTAGTGGAAAAAAAAACACATGTTTATAACCTTGTGTTATCCAATGAGACGCGTGTCTGCGCAATAACAGCGACATCTATTATGAATCATCAAAACCACTTTCGACGCACAAAGACATCGATCGATAGTTATTGAGTTGCTGGAGATGTGTATTAATTAGTACTGTGTGGTTTCCGTAGAGGGCGTTAACTGTACGGACTGTTAACTACAAAACGTTTGTGATAATGTTGTGTTAATAGTTGTTACATATATTAATATACCGCACTTCGGTTCTATAATATAAGGCACCAAAATGTCAGAAATAGAGAAACTACTAAAGGAATTTAGAGTTGACATAAAAAAGACTCTGAATGACTTCTTGTGTAGCTAAACAAGAATAAAACTAAATAATTCAAGAAATAAAAATAAGATACACGGGATTACTTACCACTCATAATTATAGCTAAAAATTTTATTTTGTTGAAAATTATAATGGTGTTTATTGTTCACCATGATTGTGAGAGCGAGATAGATAGTAAAAACATGCGTGAGAGACACGATACGCGATTATCTAACGCGATTTCGCTCGCACAACTACGACGTTTCCTATCTCTGTCCTTGTCTATCGGTAAATTTAATTTTGTGATTATAAAGAGAACAGATGTCTGTAACATTCCGTTTTCTTCACACTAAGCCGTGTGTCGACGACTATCTCTTTCTCTCTTTCTGCACATGTTGTCATACTCTCGAAGCGGGCGGTGTTTCGTAAAAGTAACCTCTATTAGAATGCTTCTTTTGTTGACATTATTTTTTTAGTCTCCATTGACATGCCCTTTTGCATAGTTCAATTTAAAACGTATTTAGTAGTTTTCTAAATTGAGGGATTAACTAAAATATAATTATTCATAGTATTAAGTTCTGAGTGTTAATAGTGAATAGTATAAACAGAAATACTGGTACTTGGGTATTTATGTGGTCAAATATTGTAAATATTAACTATGTTTACGTCGGCCTGTGAAAACAGTAGAGTGATATGGCACCATTTTGAATAAGACAATAAAACTTTTAAGCAACGTGTAATGAATGTAAAGATGTATTAAGTTATAAGTCGTCCACCGCCAATTTAAAAATCATTGATCATCATTCAATCGCCATTTTAAAAATAATTATAATCCACACAAGTCAGATAGAGATAACAAAATAAGTTACTCAACTCGTACAGATTATATATAATAATAATAAACATTGTTTGTATTAGCCATATTATTTAGCATTTTTAAGAAAAGAATAAGAAAAAATTTATTATATTACTACTAGCCATTCGCCCCGGCTTCGCACGGTTGATTTCTAGATCTCGACAATAACGCCACCTACCGGATCCAATTGTGAATCTAAACCATTGTCTAATCAAGTCAATCACAGACAAAATTCCATTAAAATCGGTTCAGCCGTTTAGGAAGACTTCAGTCACATACACACGGAAGTATAATAAGAAGAACTATATAATATATAATATTCATGTAACATATAAACCTTCTTCTTGAATCATTCTGTCTATTAATGAAAACCGCATCAAAATCCGATGCGTAGTTTAAAAGACGTAAGTGTATAGACGGCGGGAAGCGAATTTGTTTTATATTATGTAGATATTAGTTTTACACATTTTACAATCCTGCTTTATCCATAACACAGTAGTAGCCTTGACTACAGATTTCAAAATATTACAACATTCGTAAAAGTTATTCGCTTACAATAAACACTTCATAAATACTAACAATACAAAAGAATTCCAGTCAAGTGTAATATAGCGTGTAAACGCGCATCCAACTTGTGATAGCCCCTTATCTCATCTACTACTACGTCAACAGACTAGACGTGGGCGTAATTCACGTCACTAGATACAATAACTGACTACGCGGCATGTAACCAAATCACTAGTTTCAAGTCATATTACAAGTAGTGATTTTTGTAAATGTGTTATTACTGTTAACTGTGATTGTTGCGCGTCACAGTGCGGTCGGTCAAGTGCTGCGCTTTGCATGTGGCATACAATAATAAACAAAACAGCGTATGTAACAGTATTATTGTACGTTTAATTTTCATACCTAAGACTATAGACATAGACAATAAAAGAGAGTGATCTCTGTTTGTAAATAATTTCAACGGTTTGCGATTCCGGGAAGCGAGAACACATTGAATTTAAGTAAAATAATTTAGTTTGTTTTAGTTCATCGTTGTACTTGTGTATAATTTTGAGTACCTACTCTCTTATAAAAATTAACATTTATGTTATTTTGGTGTTTTATGTACATTTACTGTAACGTTTCCTTGTTATTATATAAATATAATTAGTGTGGATTGGATTGTACAAGTCTATATAAACTGTAAATATCAATAATTATTTTATATGCAATCAAATTGACTTGTAAATATGCCTGCATTAATAATTTTATGAAAATCTTAGTTACATAGTAAACACAAATCAATCATAAATACATAATGCAGTCAGTCCTAAGCGTCAATAAAGTATGAAGTGAAGCTAATTTATTGATTTAACTGTATAGCTACAAACACTTGATAGTGATTAAATTTATTTTCGTTTCGTGTGTAACTGTATAGTTCGTGGTGGTATTATATACTTAACGACCCAAGTCTACAACAGACCTGCTTCGTCCTTGCCGGACCCGTTGTAAATCATCCGATCCTCTCGCTTAAACGCCGGTAGCTTTCACTCGTTCACTCAAGCAGTGACCGCGCATTATCCTTCCCGCTCGCACACTTATCGTGCCGTCTCATTCACTCTAAAGAATTAAATCAACAAACCTCTCGCTCACTCGCTCTCGATAAAGAAATGATCAGCGTTCCATGTTGGAGTTTATATCGAATTTGATACACAAAAATGATACTTTGCTCACCTCCACAGTGTAACGTACAAGGTAGATATAAGTTGGATGAATAACTAATTTTATTTCTAGAAAATTGTAATTGTATTTGTGTATTTGTGTGTGTGTATTTTATTTAATTCTGACCTAGAGATTTAGAGTGAATTGACGGTTCTCATACCTAGCCTAATTTGTAGCATTTTGACACCCTTATCATGCTATGCCAGGAAGCTGTCGAGTGTTCCCACTAACCCTGTATAATATGGTTTTTAGCGGGAGAGTAGATTAATTAGATTTTTGTGTTTGATTAATAAACATCGTTTCATAAATTCGTACCCATGTTTTATTGAGCTAAAACATACCTTATAATTATCGCTTACCTAATATTTACAAATACTTACATAATCAAATTAATAACTTAAGTATAATAACGCATAGGCGTCAATTTTACGCTTGGCATAATGGGCATTGAGCGATACGTGCTCTTTATACCTTGCTTATTTGTACTCTAAGTTCTGAATACTCTTTATTTATTGTTCTAATGGGTCCATTAATTAAATTACTTTATTATATACTCTTTGTAGGGGTCATAAATTTGCAAATTAAGGAATCCAAATGGATTCGCCGAGCTCTGAAAGGTTAAAAAACAATTTTTTGGAGTGCAATTAGAAAAGTAAGCAAATTTTTTATTATTAAGTGTAAACACGTGTTGTCCTGAAAGTGCTCCTGAAAAATCTGAAAAAATTCCATAAAATAGTATTAACATAATCTTAGCTTCCCAAATTTTTTCAAAATTTTCCTATTTATATTTTCCGAATGAGACGCTTTTTGCGGTTGTTGGTTTTCATAAGTAGATTTTCAAAATTAAATAACTCAAAAAATTTTCAGGCAAAAATTTTTTCCAAATTAAGTATATCATAGGCAATTTATCTGTCTACATACAGTATTTTTTTCGGAATTTTTGAGGTAGCGCTTTTGGAGATAAGAATTTAATTGTAAGAGCTG